AGATGATCATCATGAAGGGATATGGGAGAATTGATTATTACATGTAATGCCCGCTATTTATTTTGTTTTTTAGTTTTCTTATTGTAGTACTTTTATATATTCTAATAATTTTTGTTTCTAAACAGGCGTATGGATTCAGCAAATGGTGATGGTACTACACAGGATGGTACTACACAAGATACTCATACTACTCAAAGTAGTAATACTACTTCTAAGACGAGGGGCGCCACTCGTATGCAAAAACTCATTCTGCAGCGTTCTACTGAAGGGAAACACCACATTGAGCTTGATGGATTGGAGCCTGTCTACGGGCCAGAAGGCAGTGCATTTAAAAGTTATGTTGCATTAGTGGGACGAATACATACTCCTATCACAATAGATGAATGACCGAATGTCCCAGAAAATATTAAGAGTACTATTTGGAAACAAATCCTGGTAACTTTTAATTTTGTAAGATTTTGATTTATTCATAAAGTTTCTATAATTACATTTCTAACTAATAAATAATTTTGTTTTGCAGAATACTTATGATATTCCCGACACAACTGATATGAGGAAAGAATGGTTAAAATATGTGGGTGATCGGTGGAAAGATTTTAAAGCGAAATTGGTGAGCAAGTATATATACGGTAGTTTTGCAGGTATGAGCCCATGTATAAAATACAACTTCATTGGACAAGAGACATGGGATGAGTTTGTAAAGTCGCATACAGGTTCAGCATATGAGGTATCGTTATTATTCTATCAATATTTCCAACATAAACTCTATCATTATTATGAGGGACATGTAAAGAGTTTGATTAATATTTTGTATTTATATAGGCAAAAAGAAAAAAATATCAAGACATACAAGCTAAGAATATTCATCCATATCTTTTAGCTCGAGGAGGTTATAAAAGGTTGGAGAAGATGATGATGGATGAGAAGTTGAAAGAAAAACAAGCGTTGGCTGATGCAGATCAGACGTATACAATGAGTCCTCCAAGTCCTCCACGTAGAGCCGAAAAGTGGAAGAAAGCAAGAATTGACAAGTCAGGAAATTATCGCACTGAATCAACAAGATTGGTGGCGGAAAAAATTGTAAGTAAATATGTTGTCATTTACTAAAGTAATAGTAATTATTATTGAATAATTTTTATATATGTTAGGATGCTCTTGAGATCCAAATTTCTCAAGGAGAATTTGTTGAGAAAAGAAGACAAGATTCATTGACTGTTGCATTGGGTACTGATGAGCATTCTGGACGTGTTAGAGCCATGGGAAGAGGACATGGCTTCAAAAGTGTATTTGGCCATGCAAAACGTCGCGAAAAGCCTCCTGAAGATGTTCAACAAATGGTTGATGATGCTGTTGCAGTAGCGTTAGAGAAACAAAAGCAGCAAAATATTTCTGAACGGGAGGAATTTGGTCAACGATTAACTGAGCAATTTGAGGCAAAAATAGCTAGTATGATGTTGAAATTTAGTGCTATGCAGACTCCTTTACAAGCAAAGCAGGTGGATGACGTATGTGTGGATGTTGTGTCACTACCTCCAAGTGACAAAGCTAGTTCCCCAGACCCTTTTAGTAATTTACCGGCTGTAAGTATTCATTTAAAGTTATCTTATTATTATTTATCAATAAAATTTTATATGATTTTTAATTAAAAATTATTGTAGTTAGGGGCACGATGTCAACTGTTCTTAGAAGATCCAATTAGACGTCCAGTAGCATATGGGACAGCTTACAGTGGTGGACAAGTTCATGGGGTTGTACTGGATATAAATCATGTGAAGGTGAGCGAAAATGAAGTTAGTGATCCAAGTGCACATGTACCAATCCCCACCAGTGAGGTTCAGCTTGTAGGTGATGCAATTCAACACTTTATTGCTTGGCCAAAGAAGCTGGTAGAGTTATGTACTAAAGCTGATGTGGTATGTATACTGAAAATATTTCTATTTTAAAATAGTAAGTAATTTACTTTTTAAAATAATAATTCTTACTTGTATTATAATTCACAGTCAAAAGAAAAGACCAAATTGACTTTTCATTCGGGTGTGCAATCCGTTCATCAACAATTTACTATACCTGATGATGATTCTTTGACTGATGGATGCGAAAAGGCCTTTTCAATAGCTCGCCGTTTTGAACACCCTCTTGTGGTCCATGTGGCTCGTGGTATTATGGGCAACATTGACTATGACTTGCACCTTCTAAGTGATGAGATAATGCGTTTCTTAAATATGGAGACCATCGATGTTTCTCTAGTTTAGTTCTTTATGAGGTAATAAGTTCTTTAGTATTATTTATTCATAATAGTTTTATATTTATATAGTTGGTAATCTATATATAATTGGTTGTGTTTGTGAATAGGGGTATTTACATTAGTTTTGAGTTGGCATCAAAAGACACGTATGGCTTCCTAGATCCATATTGGATTCAACCACAAATGAATAATATGGAAGACAGGAAATCATATATAAATGCCACCATGCAGTCGGGGAAGAAATTGGTATACTTAGCCCCATATGTTCTCAAGTAAGTATTAATTACGTTTTAAATAAAAGTACTTATATATAATATATTTTTATTATATATTATATTCACTTAAAACTAATAAATTATTTATTTGTAGTGAGCATTGGATGTTGATGGCGATTTGTCCTCGACTAAATGAAATTTTTTGGTTTGATTCACTTGGTCATGGGCCGCGTGAAGACATTAAACATATAGTGGAAACGTATGTAAATTTATATAATTAATTAGTAGTTATCATTAAACTAATGATGCCAAGTATTTATATATATTCTATGTCTTATATTAATAGGTGTATGACTGCAACAAACATGATGAGTGGAAAGAAACAAAATCGTTCACCAAAATGGACTATATGTTCGGTAAGTACTTCATTCACTTTGTAAAACATGCAAACTTATTGTTTTTTTTTTATTAATTTATTTTATTTTTATTGTAATTCAATGTAGTGTGCTATACAAAAGGGAACCACCGAATGTGGGTATTATGTGATGAAGTTCATGTTGGAAATTGTTTCCAACAATCTAAGCAAAGGAATGGATAAGGCAAGTAATTTCTTAATATATCTTTTGGCTTCAAATGTTTAAAAATACTTGCTTATTTATTAATTTTATTTCTTTTGAACTTTGTAGGCTTTGGAAAGACAAGGAAGATTGCCCTACAACAAAAAAGAGATTGATGAAGTTAGAGACAAATGGTCTAAGCTTCTTAGTTGATACTTTACGTTTAAAAGTAGTTTATGTTTATTGGCTTAATGTTTAGTAGTTTTGTTGAATTGTGGTACTTATATTAGTTTTATGTTTAGTAGCTTGAATTAGCTTAATGAATTGTGTTCTTTATATTAGTTTCATGTTTAATAGTTTGATACTTTACGTTTAAAATTAGTTTATGTTTATTGGTTTAATGTTTAGTAGTTTTGTTGAATTGTGGTACTTATATTAGTTTTATGTTTAGTAGCTTGAATTAGCTTAATGAATTGTGTTCTTTATATTAGTTTCATGTTTAATAGTTTGAATTAGTTTAATAAATTAGTTGATGTTGAATGTTGAATGTTAAATTGCTAGCTGCGCAAGGATTTGAAAATTGATACAGGTTGGGTAGAAAACATAAAACGCATATAAATAAAAAAAAATAATAACATACGGCGTCGGTTTTTACCTAAAAACCGACGCCGTAGCTTAATTATTATTTTTTTAAAAAATAATAAATAAATAAATATATATATATATATATATATATATACACGGCGTCGCCTTTTACCTAAAAACCGACGCCGTAGGTTAATTATTATTATTATTTTTTAAATAATAAATATATACGGCTTCAGCGTTTACCTAAAAGCCGACGTCGTATGTAAGTTATTTATTTATATATATATATATATATATATATATATATATATATATATATATATATATATATATATATATACGGTGTCGGCTTTTACCTAAAACCCGACGCCGTATATCAACCGACGTCGTATCATTTACTTACGACGTCTCTTAAGACGACGTCGAAAGATAACCGACGTTAAATGGGGTATTTTAACCGACGTTAAAACCGTTTTCTGTAGTAGTGTGTGTATTGAGTAATACAACATCATCTATTGCATCAATTTGGAAATATGTTGCTATTTTCTTCCACAGTTGCGTGAATAATGTTGCATCGAAGTAGAGCTCTAGTTTTTTTATTTCCAGTAATAATGAGTGTTAAAGTGTCACGGAAGACGTCCAACACTGCTGGAAATCTCGTGTTTTCCGTCCAACATTTCCGTCCAACAATAATTTGGTCGGTAATGTAATAAAAATCTCAACTTTACGCAAGTAAAGTTTTGTGGACGGAAGTTCTGTCCTACCTGAATGTTGGACGGAAGTTCCGTCCAACATATACTATTGGTCAATAAATTTGAAATGACGGGTAGGTGGGTAGTAAATTTGGTAGGTATTTTTCCGTCCAAGACACAACGTTGGACAAAAACAACAGTATTCATATCTGCCCTGCGTATTTCAGCTCACTTGTTTTCAACTTTCTTCTTCATTTCTTTCTTCTCTTGCTTCTTCATGGGTTCTTAACAACATAAAAAGTGATTTCCAACAAAGTGTATTCCAAATTCAGGTATGATTTGAGTATAATAACTTTTAATTTGTGTTTGCATTTTATATATATATATATATATATATATATATATATATATATATATATATATATATATATATATATACTCTTGCAATGCTATTATATATTTTTTTTATCATGCTTGTATATATGGATTAATATTAATTAATTATTAGTTCTCTAGTTTCCTAACCATTTTTATTAGATACATTATTAATTAAATTGACAAATGGTGATAATTATTAGATTAAATAATATTTAACTATTATCTAACAGACTAACAGTATATAATCATTTTGTGATATAGATTAAACATTTTTATTAGATATATTTGTGATTTTGTGATATTTGTATTTTAATACTAGGTATATATGGAAAGTATACCAGAACATCGAAAATGGATGTATAATCGATTGTTACCTGGAAAGAGGGGAATTACTAATGAGTTTTTAGCTGGTGTTGAACAATTTGTTAAGTATGCATGTACACTTTCTGTATACGAGTTGACAAATACAATTAGGTGTCCATGTAGTAAATGCAAGAATAGAGTACACTTATCTGCTGATGATGTTCGTGTTCACTTGTATAAGAAAGGATTTGAACCGTATTATTGGGTATGGACTTGTCATGGTGAACCTATTCCTACAGTAAACGAGCAAGTTTTGGAGACACGTAACGAAAATAATCAATATGAAACAATGGTGTTTGATGTAGGTGGTTCATCATTTATTCCATTTCATGTGGAAAATAACCAAGAAGAAGAGCCACATACAAGTGCACAAAACTTTTATGATTTATTAAACACGGCTAGACAACCTTTGTCACCTAGTTGTGCTGATGAAACAGAGTTGTCATATGCGTTGAAGATGATGAATATAAAGGCAACTTTTAACATTCCACAGCTAGCAATGGATCAAATATTTGAGTACAATAAGCATATAATGGGTCCAAATAATCGAGTGCCATTTAGTTATTATGATTCAGAGAAATTGATTTCAAAGCTTGGGCTTGATCATGAAAAGATTGATTGTTGTGTTAATAGTTGTATGTTGTACTATAAGTCTGATATCAATGAGAGACATTGTAAGTTTTGTGGCGAGGCTCGATTTAAACCACGACCGCCTACTTGTGCTCGTGGGAAAGAAGTTCCTAAGAAAATGATGCATTACTTGCCTCTCATCCCTAGATTGCAACGATTGTATGCATCACAAAATTCTGCTGAGCACATGAGGTGGCATTATGAAAATCACCGTCAACCAGGTATTATGTGTCATCCTTCAGATGGTGAAGCGTGGAAACACTTTGATACTCAGTATCCTGACTTTGCAGCAGATCCTCGGAATGTAAGACTAGGTTTGTGTGCTAACGGATTTTCTCCTTTTGGTTTAAATGCTAAATCATATTCTTGTTGGCCGGTTATGGTTGTTCCATATAATCTTCCACCTTCAATGTGCATGACTACCCCGTATATATTCTTAACTTGTATTATTCCTGGGGAACACAACCCAAAGGCAAATATTGATGTGTATCTGCAACCTTTAATCGATGAGCTTCAGTTGCTATGGGATATAGGGCTTTTAACTTATGATGTCTCATTAAAGAAAAACTTTATGATGTGAGCTATGTTGATATGGACCATCAATGACTTTCCTGCCTATGGTATGTTATCTGGATGGCAAACAGCAGGAAAACTAGCATGCCCTTATTGCACTCATTATACTAAATCTTTCTATTTAAAGAATGGGCGTAAAACATGTTGGTTTGATTGTCATCGCCAATTTCTTCCAATGGATCACCCTTTTAGAAAAAATCATGATTCCTTCTTAAAACATCGGGTAGAGAAATCAAGACCCCCAAGGATTTTGACAGGGGAAGAGTTGTTGCCTACTATTGAGATGTTGCCAAAAATTACTAATGGGCTAATCGGTCGACTTGAAGGGTTTGGATGTTCACATAATTGGAAGAAAAGAAGTATATTCTGGGATTTACCATATTGGAAAGATAACCTCATCCGTCATAACCTTGATGTCATGCATATAGAGAAGAATATGTTTGATAACATCTTCTACACAATTATGGATGTTAAAGGAACTAGAAAAAATAAAGACACACCTGTTTTTGTTTGAAAGGCCTAACCTAGTAGTTAGTAAAGGTAGGTTTAAGATTTTTGGATAGTGCTAGCCTCTCTTTTGTTATGAGGTCATTAAGCTAGCACATGCTTTATTTTGATGAGAGAAACTCGTACATGCTTGTTGGAAGTACTATGGAAATAGCATGTACATACTTGTTCCTAACATGTATTTGGTGTATGGAAATAGCATGATGTTGCAAGTACTATGAATATGACTATATTTTTTATGTAAATATTTTTTATGTTTAAATATATTTTCAATTTGAAATTTAGTGTGTTCATTGATTTGTTGGTGATATAATTTATTAATAACAGGTAGAAATAAAATTATGATAATATAAAAATAATAAATGTATTTAATATGATTTAGGATTTTCCTACCAACAGTTGGAAGGAAATTTATAACATTTAGTACATGATATTTCCATCCAACAGTTCGTCAGAATTTCCGTCCAACAATTGGAAGGAAAACACGAAAGTATGATATGCTCATTTTCCGTCCAACGTTGGTCAGAATTTTCGACCAACAATAAAAATTGGACGAAAATTTCCACGTTTTAAAATGGTGGGTTTTTATCCGAAATTTCAGTCCAATTTTTGTTCGTTGGACGCTATTTTCGACGAAATATTGTGGTTGGACGGAATTTCCGACAACGGATTTTCCGAACGTTCGTTTTGGTCAGTATGTTGGACGGAGACGTCATTTCCGACCAATATATTGCGTCTTCCGTCCAACTAACGTTGACGGAAAACGCGAGATTTCCAGCAGTGCAAGTTGTTGAGAAGTGTACACAAGAAAGCATGCTAGAGAAATGTAAGAAAAAGTTAGTACACTGCTGGAAATTAGCAGATTCCCGACCACCCGAAAGTGGTCGAAAATGGCCTCAATTCGGTCGAAAACACCTGTTCCGACCACTTTTCTGATCAATTTGAGCATTTGGAAAAACCCCGTCACTAATTCCGACCACACGCAAAGTGGTCGGAAATAGCGACCACTATTTTCATGTAGTCAGAAAAAACGACAACCAACAAAATGATTGGACCCGAAAATTCTGACCACCATGTGGTCGGAAATTCTGGTCCAACAACTATTGTGGATGTATTGATTTTCTGACCACTAAGTGGTCGGAAATTCCAGAAGAGAGACACTGCAATTATTTTGTTTTTCGACCACATGTGATCGGAAATAATAAGTACTATTTCAATATGCTTTCATATAAATTATACACTATTTTCATAATTTTAAAACAAATAATAATTGCATAACAATACAATATCACTACAAAGATTTATACATTTCAATAACAAATTTAATTACACATAATATTTTCATTGTAATATTCACCTCCAAAAAACTAATTTTCAATTCTAAAATGCTATTTTATAAATCAAAATATTTCCTACATTTATACTCATAAAGTCACAAGTAGAATCACATTAAAAAAAAAAAAAAAAAAAAAAGTTAGAATCTTTGATCTATTCTGCTTACAAAGGAAATTGTATCATCATTCGATTATAGGTCATCTAGTACGGGAGGTTGGGACATCGGTCTTTTACTCTTTTGCTTTGCATTACGTTGCGACATTTTGTCTCACTATTTTCAAAGGGGAAGGAAATTAAAAATTGTCTCAACACAGATCATATCATATGTTTCCAATGCATAAAGAAAGTGTAAATAACAAATTACCTAATGGAGTGTATAAAGAAAGCTTAAGATTCCCCTTTGGCTAATTTATAACTACCTGTACATAAAAATGGTATCATATGAGTAGCATACACTGCACAAACAGATCTAAAATAGCATACATTGTACAAATAAAGCTTAAGATTCCCAATGGGCCAATTTATAACTACATCGTACAACAACAGGAGCAGTTTTGTATGACAGCAATGCTCCAAACATCAATCAATGATAATACCAGTACAAATCTTTAATCATATTCATGTTTATAGCAGTCCTATCGAGTAGTTAACTGAGTTAAAACCTCAAACCTTATGTCCTATCAGATACGATGGTTGACTTTACCAATCATCCCTCAACTCCTCGAATGATTTGTCTTATCACTCGATCTTGTATACACAAGAGATTGACTCCTCAAGTATTTGTTCAGATGTAACGTATAAGAACCTTGGTTAACTATTCGATTAAGATTTGATTATTGAGTAGACTTATCTTAAATCTAAGAAATAAAAAGAATTTGGGGGGGGGGGGGGGGGGGGTTATAAACTCCTAAGTTTAGTATCATCAAAATATAATACAAAATTTTTCTAACAGTATTATGTGATAAAAATAATACGCAATACAATACACAATGATATACAATATATTATATAGGATTATAAAACTCAATAGAACTAGAATTGTAGAGTTCTAACAAAAATAAAGGTTTAAAGAGTTGGAGTTATAAAATGATTTCATGTATATACATGGAAAAGGGAAGCACGATCTTATTTTTCATAGCAATAATGGTGAGATGACTACATAGAAAAGACAGCACAGTCTATAGTAGTAAACTTGTTGTGTCGTGATGTAACACCCCCCAAACAAGGCCCAAATAAAAGCCTTAACACATGCAGATTAAACGACAAAACTAGCACAGCGGAAGATAAAACGAGAACTGGATAAAAGAAATCCAACGGGGTGTCACGCCACGTCTACCAAACACGGTAAACGCTACGGCAAACAATCTGCAAGTGTATGCATCTATCCCAAAACATCAGTCTAAAACTACATGGGCACACAGGCCACAAAACAAGGATAAAGGTGCTAAGCTACCAGGCACTAGACATCGCGCTCGTCTAAACATCACCTGAAAGATACAAAGATAAACATTGAGACGATGCCCGGTCAGCGATAATGCTGGTAACCAACCAATACCGTTAAGTATCATATATAGAAAGATATAAGTCATAAAACCATTTTCGAAACGGAATACATAAGTATATAAGTCAAAAGCCAAGATCAACAGTCAACACAAGACTCATCACTCACAAAAGATGACACGAGAACACATCCCAAACCACAAAGGTTAACCACAACACAAAGGAATAAGACTCACCCATGGCAACACATGCCCTTGTGACTACACACGTCACAAGAAATAGAACTCACCACAACGGCTACACAAGCCCTCGTCACATCACGCATCACGAGTTGATATGCCTTCCTTATGCCCTATTCCAACCTTATGGCTACCCCCAACCTTGTACTTTCATGCCAACCATTACCTCCAGGACCCCTGTACTTCTTAGTCCAACCTTTTCCCTCCTGGGACCGTCGTCCCCCACCAACAATCCACCAACAAGACCACCAATTCATAGTACACAAGGTACCGTACACGGCAACACATGCCCGGATAACACATGTTATCCCTTAATCACGTGAACCTTACTCGAAGGCCACATCTCCATAATCACGTCAGGCCACCACAAGGACCGCTGCAATACCTTGGTGACTAGCGTCCCATACCACTAATCGTGCAATCCAGGTAAAGCCACACACGCACCACCACTCACACGAGTCAATCAACAGATTACAACGAAGGTATGAAACAAACTCAATCAAGGAACGGGTCACAACCCAACGACAACGACGATGGATAACACAAGTTATCATCAACCAAACGGAAGGTACAAACCACACACACGCTAGCATTAAGACAATAAACTAGCATGCTTAACAACGGAGAAACTCAAGATAGTTCCGAGGAACACACAAGACACCTCTTGGTCCAACGAAACACAATGTTGAACACTTAGCACGATTCAAGAAACCAAAGTCCTACATGGATACCTACCAAATAGTTCTAGACATACGAAACATCAAGAAGACGCTCAAATAGTTCCACAAAAGAACAACGGGAAGTCAAAAGACCAAATACCGAGTCAAACGGATCACGGGGAACAAATCCCGAACAAACACCACCGTGTACCGGTGGTTCCGCCCGCGGGTACACCACCCACAAGCCTATGTACCTGCGGGCGGGCGGCGGGTAGGGCTCTCCCCGCCGTTCCACCCGCGGGTACATACTCCTGGGCAAAAAGATCCCTTCGGGGATTTTCTTCTCCAAACACAAATTCAAGTCCAAAACATGTCAAATCTCACCCAATACAACAAAATGACTTGAACCATGGAAAATACCAAGCAATGGCACAAAGGAACCCTAAACACAAGCTCTAGATATGCAATATCACAAGACAAATGCATAAACCCTCACATTTCATAGCAAAACACAAGTAGAATCCAAGAAATCACATATAGGTAAGCAAAATAGGTTTTGTAGAGCATGTGTTACCTCTTGTAGACCAAAAGACTTCACTTTACACCACAACAAGCTCCCCACAAGGCTTACTTTCCAAACCCACTTCAAGATCAAACCAAAAGATCATAAAGATCCTACCTTTAAGAAAAAGACAACTAAGATGGAACCAAAAAGACAAGATAAACTTAGATCTTACCCTCCTAGATGCCCAAATAGGTGAAAGGTT